AAGGTATGGCCAGGTGTGGTCTGAGAAAGGACCACAGACCTTCTCAGGAGGTGGCTGGTGCTCCAGGGGGAAAGCCAAACCCCCAGCTAGTTCCTGTATCTTCAAGGCTTGCAGCGAGTCCCATTCCACAAGCCTCTGCCAAAAGGTCTGGGTGCAAGACCAGAGGCTCTGCTTCGATTTTCAGCCTGATTTTCCAGGAACACCAACAACCTAAAGAAAAATCACACATTTCTCCAGAGACCACTCAGTGCAAAAGTTTTTAGCTCCAGCTGTGATGCAGCAAGGGATGCTACCACCATGAGTCTCTTTAAATCAGTATATACTATATAACTTTTTAGGTTGAGAAAATTCTTGATCCATTTGCTCTGGGTCTCACAGGCAGACTGAAGTGAAAAACTGATTTTCCAGTTGACCAAGGTGACCAGCTGTCCACGTATTGTCACCAGTATTTTGCTTTCCAAAGTCCTGGGCTCTTGGAACCAGGTGATTATGTGAAAAATTCAGCTTTTAAGAGTTTCCAGATTTCTCTCTGTTACATTATTTATGATTTTCATGGGTGCTTTGGAGACTGGTTGCGCTTTTGGTTCCCCTCTGCCTTGATGCAACTCAACCTCCTCCACCCCAGAGCTGGTCCCTGCCCTCCAGCCAGCTCCATGCCTTCCCATCCCAGCAGCACGCACAGCAGGCTGGCATTGCCAAGGAAAAGAGGGGATGCCCTGATCGCAGCTCTCTCCCCACATCATTTCAGCATTTATTCTCAAGTGTACTCCTTGAAATCTTGAAAGGAGACTGCACAGGTGAAGACGTCATTTCTATGGCAAACACATTTTAAGAGGAAAAACACCACTGCCCCAAACACAGCTCTGTCTGAATCCCGAGGACACCAATAAACGGCTGCTGGCCCGTAAGAATTCAAAGTATTCATCTAGATGAGCAGAAATGCAGCCTCTTAATGTCGCTGATGCAGGTGGCTTTGCTGGAAAGGGCTGGACCTGAAAATCAGGACGCCGGGGTTTCAAGCCCAGCTTTCTCACCGTGTGATCTCGTACAGGTCTTTTTTCTAACCAGCCCTTTGCTTTCCCTGATACACATTATTATCCTCATGTGACGATTTAATGATGATTTCAATACAAATTAATTAAGGATGCTGGCGTTTCCATTGCAGACCGGCCCCAAAGCATTTGCATCCACTTGTACGCCTCAGAGACCGCCAAGTAATTTCTAAGCAGAGTAGAGCGATGCTGTTATTAAGCATTAACACTATTCAGCATTTAAAGAGCATCATCCCTGTTTACAGACTCACAGGTTACAAGGTCACTGTGACCACCCAGCTCAGCGTTGTGGCCACCGAGGGCTGGACGGCAGCTTTAGGACCCCCTTCTCAAGCCAAAGCGGTGGGACAGCAGCAAGGGATGGGGGGGACATCCCCAAAGCCAAACTTGGGCTCACAGGTTTGGTTTGGGTTTTTTTGGTTTTGTTTTTTTTTTTTTTTTTTCTCTCCAAAGCTGGGTCAGGCTACCAGGGGAAGCAAAAGCTTTGGTGCTCCAGGGCAGGAGAAGGTGGAAACACCACCAGCCTCAGGCCAGGGGAGTAATCCCTCGGAGAGCGCAGGCAGATCGTGGGTTAGATTAGAGAAATCCTTGAAAGCCCTGTCTGAAACACCAGTACAAGACATCGCCTTGTGCTAGAAAGCAGCGAGGCTTTGCGCTAATCCCACCACTTTCCCTACCACCACGGCAAGAAGCAGCCCCAGGAACTGAGGATGAAGAAGGGGAAAGTTTGCTTCTTCTTGCTCCACTTTTAATTCCCAGTGCATATTATTTTTTTTCCTTGCTGCAAACTTCCAAAGCTGAGCCAGCAAGAAACAGCCTTGATCTTAAAAACAAACTAAACCAAACTTTCTCCTCCGGCCATCTAATCCCAATTAATCACAGATTCCAGCGGAAGGAGTTTTCTCCTGTTACTATCATTATTCCTGCTTGTATTATTGTGCCAGTTTTAAGGTCCTGGGTCTAGATGCAGATCCAGGTGAATGGGGAAAAAAAAACCAACAAGAAATAGGCTGGTCTGAGTCTCAGCAGCATTTATAATCTGAATTTGGCCACCTACAATACCATCTGCCAGGCTTTGAGGTCCACCCTGGAGTTGAACTCATCAGAAATCTGGGCTGCCACGGAAATGACAAATTAATAGCAGCCCCGCGCGGGCTCAGAAAATGAAATCAGCAAACTGGGGACAACAGGGACCAACACACGCATTCAGTTAATAACACACACGCCTCCGTGGGTGAGGCAAAGCCTCGGGCGAGGATGAGGTACCAGCTGCCTTCCTCCCACCTGGGCACCCTGCTCCCCGACCCAGCGGTGGGCTCAGGTCCCTATCTCCCCCTCCAGCACATCATCCCCAAACCACGTGGCCCCCCAATTGAGTGGTAGGTGTGGGTGATTTTTGGTTGTGCTGTTTTTTTTTTTACACCAGCGAGGAGGAGGAGGAGGAGGAGGAGGGAGACAGCTAAACCTGTCCTCCTTGCAAAAAGCCTCCTCGTTTTCTTTCTTCCAAAAGCCACGGGGTGAATGAAACAAGGCGTGCATGACCCCACCACGTAGGTGTCCATCTGTCAGCAGGGACCTGAGTAATGCCTTCTCAACGTCTTGCTTAATTCAATTAAATTTGAAACATCAAAGGCACTTTCGGTTCATACAAGCTCCTTGGAGGGCATGCAGCCGAGGAGAGGAAAAGGAGCCTTCCCAACACCTGCCCAACATGGTTAGACATCAGAGAAGCCAAGCAGGAATTCCCCAGAGAGAAAAGTCTAGCAAACAGCCTCGGGAAAGTGGGTTTTGCATGGCACATTGTTAGAGAAACATCTTGTTTCAGGAAGTTTTCCCCATCATTTTCAGCCTTGTTTGATGATATCTCCTAGCCAGCCGGAGGATTTTGCTAGGACGTTATTATCCGCAGTTGGGAATCTGGGAGAGCATCTTTCAGCTCAACGCTGCTTTTGAGCTAAAGCGAGGCGTGCGGCGAAGGAGCTGCCAGCAAAACGTGGCCACCTCCGAGGGAGATCTGTGGCGGGCACGTTACGAAAGGGTTTGGAGGATGGGAACAAAGCGCATTTTAACCAGCTGGAGCCACAGGCAGGGCTGAAGGGAAGTGGCAAGCAATTACTCCAGCTGGAATCCGGCCAGGGTGTCTTGAAATACCAGCTTGCAAAACTTTCACCAAAACACGCCAACGGACCAGGTGTTTCTAGGATAACAGATCTGGCCTTTAACTCTGCAATCTTCCCCAGGATCAGCAGAACCAGGAGAAAACCATTATCAGGAATTAATGCTGTAACGGATCCTCAGTCCCTCCAGACTCTCCAAGTCTGTTTGCTGAGCTCAGGACTTTGCGTACAGCTGGAGGAGAAAGACCGATTTATTTTTGAGCTCTGGAGGAAAAAGTCCCCTCTTCTTGCTCTGAAGAGGAATCCCTCCTAACTTTTGACCCTGCAGAATGTGTGCAGGTCTGACTGCACCCAGCAGAAGGCAGCAGTGGATGCAACCTTTTAGCGCTTTGGTAAAATAATTTAAATCCCTTTTTAAATTTAAAGTCTCCTGCATATAGAGCTTTGCTCCACCGCGTGCTGGAGTGCGACTGCTTCTGCAGAGGCAGCTGCGGATAACTCCAGCCCGGGCTTGCTGCATTATGCACGGAGAGATGGGATTGCTTGAGAGAGGCGAGATGCAATCAGCCAAGCAAGGAGAGCAGATCTGGCACCCAAACCCATTTACAAAAAAAATAAATTAATCCTGGCACAAGGCTGCAAGGACCACAAGGGAACCAAGAATTCATTGTTAAGTGTCACTCGAGCCTTTTTCCACCCCAAAACCTCAGCCCCCAACAGCTCTCTGTTGCACAGCGCTGAGAGCCTCCCCACTCCGCTCCCTGCCAGCCGAGGATTTGCAGCTGGACAGATTTAGGATGGAGGACAGCACCACAGGAACATAAAAGGAGACATGCAAACATGGCCCGTGTCCATGCAAAGCCTGCGGCTTTATGCTGGCATTCCCAAGAGCAAAATCATTGACCTCATTGAGCAATAGCTTGACAAGCAAAAAGAAAAGAAAGGGGCCTGAGATGACAGGGGTAGGATACACCCTCCCTGGCTACAGGCAGCGAGCACCCCCCAACCGCCAACCCACACGCGATGCAGAAAGGCAGCAAAGGTCCACAGTCAGGCTCTCCAGCGATCAGCCCTCTTGATCCCAGTTGCACCATCCCATTCAGCCTCCATCCAGGCACCTCGAGGAAGCCCCAGATTGTTTATGGCTCCCCGGCTACGCAGAGCACCCCCCAAACCCTGCCCTGCTCCCTGGACAATTGCAAGCCGCTTATTTCCTGGGGTTGAGCTGTCCTGACAGCCTGGGAGCAGCTCGAGGACCTTAGCTTCCCTGCTCCCCGGACAATTGCAAGCCGCTTATTTCCTGGGGTTGAGCTGTCCTGACAGCCTGGGAGCAGCTCGAGGACCTTAGCTTCCCTTTATCCTTCAACATCCCGTGTAAATCGAATGCACCGGGACCCCTGGCCCGGGAGAGCTCCTCCAGCTTGATACCAGCAACAAGACTTTTCAGACAAAACTACGGTCCTCTCCAGTGTGCAAGTAGAAAGAGGAAGGGAATATTAACTACACCTCTGCTAATGAAACACCCGGCACCTGGCGAGAGGTAGTAAAAGGGAAAAGCAGAGGAGGGAGCACAGCATCGTTATGCAACCGTGTTATCTAACGACCACAGAGACACCCTATAGGGGCTCTTTGTTTGCAGAGGGACGGAGAAAGAAATGCCACCAATATCTGAGTCATTGGTTCACCAAGAGGCTCCGAAGTTATTTTCAGATGGAAACTTTTCCAGTTTCACACAATAATTTGGGAGGACTGGCTAATTCCCTGGCTCCACCCACCGCCTTGTAACACAGCTCCCTGCTGCTCTTGCATATATAGATAGGTATGGCCCTACAACTGGGTGCAGACAGAAGAGCCCGGAGACAGAGGAAACCTAAACTTACTTCCTTCCTAGCTGCCCTCCACCCGCTCCCACCATGAAGAAGGAAATACTAACCCTGGCCTTCGCTCGATCCGTCTTTGTCGAGTTCATCTCCACACTCATCTTCGTCTTCATCGGCCTCGGCTCAGCCCTGAAGTGGCCGTCCGCTCTCCCCAGCATCCTTCAGATCTCGCTGGCGTTTGGCCTGGCCATCGGTACACTAGTGCAAGCGTTTGGGCACATCAGCGGCGCCCACATCAACCCAGCGGTGACCATCGCCTTCTTTGTGGGGACCCAGATCTCCTTCCTCCGGACGCGCTTCTACGTGATTGCCCAGCTGGTCGGGGCCATCGCTGGGGCTGGCATCCTCTACGGCGTGACGCCGGTCAATACTCGTGGCAACCTGGCCATCAATGCGGTAAGTCTCCCTACCTGGAGATGGTTCTACCTTGCTGCGCAGGCTTTCCTTTCCTTGTGAACGAGGAGCTGGTGCCGGCACTGACCCAGAGAGCCAAATCCATAGGGATGGTTGGTCTCAGCACATTGTCCTGCATGCACAGACGGACAGGAATGGGATAGGAGCAAACACCGGCGTAGCCAGCAGAATATTGACATGACAGCTTTATTGTGTGGGGTAATGAATAGCATGTTTTTTTCCTCCTTTAATAAGCGCTTCCTTTATCCTAAGGGCGTGAGTGAGTCACTCGCACCATTGAGATGTTCTTGACAGCAGCCTCTCCACCTGGAGATTAGTGCTGGGATAGGAGCCGCACCAGGATGGAGGGGGGAGGGCAAGGAGCAGAGCCCAGTCAAACCAGTATGGGCAGGGGGAGAAGCCCACTGTAACCAGTGCGCTGGTGGAGCTGGGAAATGGAGGTGGATGGAGAGAGGTGGTGGTGAAGAGGTGAAGGAGGAATGCGCGGGAGGGCACGGAGAGGCTGAGAGGGGCAGGGTCTGCTCTTGGAGGAGGAGGGGAGATAGTGGGACCCTCTGAGAAAAGCAGGGACAAGGAGCACATCTCAAACCCTTGGAGCAGTGCTGGAAAACCACCTGAAATGGGAATGGTGGAGCTACCGCTCCAACCACGGCCAGGTCTGGAGTCCTCGGAGCAGCACAGATGTGTTGCAGAGGGTTTGATCACTAGGATGAGGTGCTACAATGCATCTTATTCCCACATGCTTCATGTCCCAGATCAGTCAGCTTTAGCTAAAAAAACAAAGCTGCGATGGCTTGGGTCCCTTTGCCTTTCCCATGCCCAGTGGGGTTGAGTCCATCTGACAGTCCCCAGCGGTTAGCACAGAGGCAGTGATATGACAACATCCCACCTTACCCCCATGACGCATCCCAGCCTTCTTCCCACCCCTCATTCTTCATCCCATGCCCCTCTGTGGTGGCTGCTGGCTGCTCCCCAGCCTCTTGGGGAGGTGTTCCACAAAGTGCAGGGGAGAAGAGTCAGGATACGACGGTTTGCAATGAGCAAGGGGGAAAGAAATGCGGGGAGTGGAAAGAGAGAGGCAAATTGGTGGGAAAGCACTGAATGTTGTGGAGACAAACAAATGGAGAGACTTGGAGAGCCCTGGCAAGGGAAGGGCTTGGGGGAAGAGACAAATTTTGGAGCATTAAACACAAAGAGAGAGAATTTCTTCCCTTATGAGGAAAAGGGCAGTGAGCTTGAGCAGCAACCAGCAATGGCACCTTGTGCCCCAGGGCTCAGCAGAGAGCCTGGAGGGGCTTCTTGTGCATGGCTTTGTCAACCCAAATCCACCAGCAAAGCACCAAAGAGTCCTCTGGGTGATGCTGAGCCCCAAGACAGTTGATTAATTGTTGATCTTGACTGTTTACAGCTCAACAACAACACGACCCCAGGCCAGGCCCTCGTGGTGGAGATCATCCTCACCTTTCAGCTGGCCGCATGCATCTTCGCATCCACTGACAACCGGAGGAACGGCAACGTGGGCTCCCCGGCACTGTCCATTGGCCTCTCTGTTGCTGTAGGCCACTTGGTGGGGGTGAGTGTCCAGGCAGGAGGACAGGGCTCCCCAAAACGCTCTCATGCAGTTAATCCCAGATGTAGCTGCACTGGGAGAGGCAAGATGGGACATACCGGGACTCCTTCACCATGATGATGCAGGGGATCTCTACCTCTCTGCAAGAGAAAGCGTGTCAGGCACTGCTTCAGTCCCTGCCTTTGAAAAGTTGGTCATATCTGCTAAGCACACGATGCATCTTAACTTGGTCTCCTTTCCACACTGACAGATCTACTTCACCGGCTGCTCCATGAATCCAGCCCGGTCCTTTGGGCCCGCGGTCATCGTGAGGAGGTTCAGCCCAGCACATTGGGTGAGCATCAGCAGCGTGTCAGGACGTGCTGGCCCAGAGGCTGCCAGGGCCAGATGCAGGCAACGATGGGAGAGGGCAGCGACTGCCACAGGGATTACAGGGCTGGGTGTTTCAGAGGCCGTGCCAAGCCTGAAAGGGTGAAACAGGGCTGGAGAATGGGGCAGGTTGTCCCCCATACAATGGCACACTGAGCTAGGGCATCATCTGAGGTAAATAAAGCCCAGAAAAGCCCAGCTTAGGCTTTCCACTCACTGGCTCAGACCCAGCCTTGCAGAGCAGGCTTCGTGCCTCCTTGCCAACACACCACATCTCTGCACTCATGAAGAGCTTGATGTCTTCATCAAGCAAAGGTTGAAGGCATTTCAGCCCAAGAAGTCTACTGGACAGGGTATTTGCATCTCTCCATGGGCTAGGAGATGCAGAGCAGTGAGGGATGCTGGTGTGATGGCTGGACCTGGTGCACCAGTCTAAGACCTGCTCTCACCCTCTCCTTTGTTGCTTTCTAGGTGTTCTGGGTTGGACCCATCCTTGGGGCTTGCTTGGCCGCTCTGCTGTACTTCTACATCCTCGTCCCCTACTGCATGAACATGTCAGATAGGGTTGCCATCATCAAGGGCACCTACGAGTCAGAGGAGGAATGGGAAGAGCAGAAAGAGGAGAGGAAGAAGTCCATGGAGTTGACCCCACCGTAGGAACAGTTGGAAAAGCCAAGCAAAAGGAGGGGAGGAGGCCCCACACATGGGCTCATGTGCACACCAAAGCCCAGCAGTGAACACATCCACCTACAGTAGACTCTTAAGCAAAAGTCTTATATCTCAAAGACCATCTGTGACTAAGAAAGTATTGCAGTGTCTGTGTATATAATCCCTCTATGTGAGTGTGTGTGCTAGAACCTCTCCTAGCTTAACTGCAGCCAGCTAAGCCCAGCAAAGGAGTCTCAGCCCAGGGCAGCCTCTCAGATGCATCCCTGCCCTCCCAGATGCCAGTTTTGCACAATTTTCAGAGAGGCCTGAGACCACGTGTTCTGGTGCACGCAGGATTTCACCCCTGCATCTGATGGCCCAGGGGAGGGGAACACCATGTAGATACCAGCAAAGAACAACAACCGCTTTGGGCAGGTGGGTGCAGCAAAACCCCCTGCTTTCTCCCCGCCACAGGGCCCACGCTGCTCATAGATGCTCTTTCATGCCTTACCTGGTGCTGGTGAGTCCTATTTATTCATGGCTGCAGAAAGAACGTGATTTTTGGATTTTGTGTTGAGATCTTTGTGATATAGTATATTATTTATTGTGAATAAAGGAAATTTTAAGAGAGCCATGGGTGCAAATCTGCTTAGATATCAAATTTTAGGAGCAAAAATGGGTTAAGCTGGATACAAAGCCATCCCAAAGAGCCA